GCTGCTGCAATACTGCTGCCGTTGCTGCTGCTGCGGCTGCTGCTGCTGCTGCTGCTGCTGCTGCTGCTGCTGCTTGCGCTTTGAATGGGTTTCTTGTGAACTAATTTGGCCAGCTTTTTCAGAAAATAGAAAATGAAGTTTTGTCTTTTGTGCTGCAGATGGCGCTGGTGTATTTAGACCTCTCGGGGATGGACAGTTTGCCGGGCGTGCTGAGCAGCAGCAGCAGCAGCAGCAGCAGCGGGGGCTCGCTGGAGCAGCAGAGCTCGCTGGTTAGCAGCATTGTGTCTCTGGGCACTGTCAGGCAGCCCCACAAAATCCAACTGGCGGATTGTTTGCAGCTTTTTTCAGAAAAGGAAATTCTAGACCAAGACAACATGTGGTGCGCACACGAGGGTTTAGGGCTTAGGGTTTAGGGTTTAGGGTTTGGGGCTAGGGTTTAGGGTTTGGGGCTAGGGTTTAGGGTTTGGGGCTAGGGTTTAGGGTTTGGGGCTAGGGTTTAGGGTTTGGGGTTTGAGGTTAGGGTTTACAGTTAGCGCTTAGGGTTTGGGTTCAGGGTTTAGGGTTAGGGTTTGGGGTTAGGGTTTAGGGTTTGGGGTTTAGGGTTTGGGGTTTAGGGTTTAGGGTTAAGGGTTTCTTCTGTTCATTGTTCCTACTGTGGATTCGTGCGTTTTTTCTTTTTGCAATTTTAAATAAATTAATTTTAAAATGAATTTCTAAATTTAAATGCAACTTAGTGGATTTATTTAAATGCCCATGAATGCGTGTAAATGCATTTTACTAGACAAATAGAATTTAAAAAAAAATTAGAAAAAGGAAATTAAAAATGCAACTAAAAAGTGGAATTAAGAATGAAATTAAAAATGAAAATTAAAGCCGGAAGTAAATTGCAATTGTCTCTGCATGCAGCAGATCTTTCTGGATTTTTAAAAGTGTTCATTTTTAATTTTCTTTTTGACTTTTAGTTTTAATTGCAGCTTTTGAACTTCTTAGCAGCAACTTGAGTTTAACTTTGCTGCTTCTTTTGTTTTAAATTAATTTTTAATTTTTAATTTTTCAATTTTGAATTTATTTCGGGTGTCTAGACACCTGCGTTCAGCGGGTCAGTTTTGCTGCTGCTTCCCGCGGCGTGTACTTTCCCTTTTGTTGGTTTCTTTTCATTTTATTTATTTTATTATTTTATTTTATCATTTTATCTCATTATTTTGTTTTATTATTTTATTTATTTCATTTATTTTGCATTTCTTTCAGGTACTGCAGCACCTGCCGCAAGCACGTGCAGGCGCAGAAGAAGCTGGACTTGTGGCGAATGCCTCGCGTGCTGATTTTGCATTTGAAGCGATTTCACAACGTGAAGTGGGTTTTTATTTCCTGTTTAATTTGTTTTTAATTCATTTAATTCATTTATTTCATTTAATTTGCATTTAATTCCTTCAAAATGAACACTTTGACGCATTTTGAACGGCTTTCCAGCAGTTTCGCAGCTGCGCTGTTGGGGTGTATGTACAGCCGGTGGAGCCGCTCCAAGACAAACACGCGCGTCTGCTTTCCGTACAAAAGTCTGTCAGTTAGTTTAAATTCATTTTAATTCTTTTTGCATTTCTTTTTGCACTTCTTTGGCCAATTGTTTGAGCCTGTTGAGCTGAGCAATTTTATTGCGACGGCATAAATATGAGTTGTTTTAGTAAATCATTTTATTTGAAGTTTATTTTGTTTTCATTGTCACAGTAAACTGAATTAGTCCAATAAAGGCCATTAGAAGCGAAAGAAAGCATTTCTTTTTCTCTTTTTCTTTTTTGTTTTTTCAGCCGGGGAATATCTGGACATGAAGAAGTTTATTCTTCCTGGAGGCCTTGAGCAGTTGAGGGAAGAAGACGTGAGTGGGGTGTCTGTACACCTGGTTGGGTGTATGTGTCCTCTTTCTCTTTTGCGGTCATTTCATTTTTATTTCTTTTCTATTAGCAAAGCAGCAAAGCCCTGCACATAAAATGAATTAAATGTACATAACAGAAGTTTTACACAGACAAATAGCCCTCTTGTAATATATTGCTTTTAATTTAAAAGTTAAGTATAAACAAATAAGACTCTTAAATCGAAAGCAGTAAAGCGAGACAACTGGAAACTCCCACAAGTCCAGAGAAACAGCCCACTCCTAACTTAGTGTTAAGACTCCAAAGTAGAATTGGAGAAACCGAACTTCCATGCTGAGTCCCAGAAGTGCAAATAAAAAGAAGTGCCGCTCCCCCACCCCCGCCTGCCCCTCTGCGGTGTACGTACAGCCCAGCTTCAACCCCCAGTACGAACTCATCGCAGTTAATGTCCATTCCGGAGAACTCGGCGGCGGCCATTACTACGCCTACACCAAAATCCGCGGCCAGTGGTCAGCTGCGCCTTCGAGGACTTCATTTCTTTTTTTTTGCTTCGTTTCTTTTTGTAGTACTCTGCTTTTCAGTATCTTATATATATATATATATATGTACACATATATATATGTATATAATATATGTATAGTGTTTAATAATGTGTGTGTGATCTCCTGTGTCCGTGTATATATAAATGTATATGTGTTTGTGTTTATTTGGATTTGCGTTTTTTTATTTTTTGATTTTTCATTAAAGGGATACGGCTGCTCTGGGGTGTATGTACAGCTGGTGCATGCGCGTGGGATCTGCCCGTCTGAAGTTTGCCGCAAAAGTTTAAATGCAAATTCAAATGCTGAGTTGATTTACTATTTATTTGCATTTAATTCTGTTTATTTTGCGTTTATTTCTATTTATTTTGCGTTTAATTCCGTTTGTTTTCGTTTGTTTTCTTTTCAGGTACGAGTTTAATGACTCTTGTGTCACTGCCGTTCACGAAGGTGAGAAAGTTGCTTCTGCAGTTTTCGGGTGTACGTACAGCTGCGGGCCTCGAGCAACCCGGACCAGTTTTTGGATTTTTGAAATATTTTTTCCTTTCATTTAAAGCAGCTGACAAACTACCAATTGAATTGCATTATTTTATTAATTTTTACTATTTAATTATTAATTGAATTTATTAATTGAATTCAATTCTTTTTTATTTTTTCAGACAAGTGCCACTCAGCCGACGCCTATATGCTCACCTACGAGCTCCGCTCCAGCCGCGAAGACTCAATGCGCAGAATAGCCAAAGTCAAAGCAGCAAACAGGATCCCCCCACATCCCAGTGAGCAGCAGCAGCAGCAGCAGCAGCAGCAGCAGCCCCCTGTGCGCCCCTGGGTCATGTAGGGGGCAGCAGCAGGCTGCAGAGAGGCAACGGGAAGGGGGGTGAGGCAGAGTTAAAAGGCACTGCAGCCACAGCAGCAGCAGCAACTGCTGCTGCTGCTGCTGCTGCTGCAGCTGCTGCTGTAGCAGCAGCTGCTGCAGCAGCAGCGGGGCATGAGAAGTGAGAAATGGTGAATATGCATGCACTTGGAAGTGTCTGTTTCTGTACGGGCATTTTCATTTATAACACTGCGCACAGACCGCCTCAATTTTTAAGTGCTTTGTCACGAAAAAAGAAAAAATTAAAAGATAGAAATAAAACACTTTTGATATATCAAAATAAGCAGCTGCTCCAGCTTTAAAGGCCTCAAAGTCTTCTTTTCTTTTTCATTTTAAAAGAAAATGAACGGAGATAATTTTCCCCCTTCAGAGACACCACTCCGTTTGCCTCGGAGGCCCCAAAGGCCTCCTGGGGGCCCCCGGCCCGCAGCTCCGCGTGGCCTCCATCGGGGGGCTGGCAATATAAAAGTGAATTAAATGTAAATAAATATGAATGAAATATAATCAAATACATATAAATAAATATAAATAAATGTAAATAAAAGAAATAAATGGTACTTTTTATCCACAACAAATGAGACAGCTGCTCACCAGTGCGCCCGCGTGTAGTGCAGCGCGGCAGACCGACGATAAGGGGCTGTAGAGGTCTTCTGAAGCAGAAGGAGAATAAAAGAACTATAAAACAATTTTAAGATGTTTTTAAAGTAATTTTAAAATAATTTTAAAATGATTTTAAATGATTTTAGAATAGTTTTAAGTGGAGGTGTGGAGAGCCTTTGCCGCGCAGATCCGCTCACCTGTTCCGTACACCCGAGCATCGGAGGCCGCCAGACAGCCTGAGAAGACAAAAAAATTGAAATCAGAAAATTAAATAAATGAAATTTAAAATGTGTAAATTGATGCAAAGTGAATGCAGTGTAGCTACAGAGACATGAACGCGTTCATAAGAATCCAGCAAACACTTGTTGCACACCACGGTGGGTCGAAATCACAAATGATATCGAGGGAAACATGCATGAATACTTCACCGATTGTAAAAATTTGAAATTTATTTGAAATAATATTTATTTATGAATTTTAAATTAATGTAAAATATATTCCACTTTGAATTTATTCGACTGTACGCGCACCTGGCGGGCAGGAGATGAGCACGAGCTGTCCCACCTTCATCTGCATCACGAGGGCGCCGTCGCCTGCATTCCAGCAAATAAAAATTATCATTTCTTTTAAAATTTAGTTTTTAATTTCAAATTAAAAGCTTAAATTTAATTTGAAATTATTCTTTCTGCATTTCAGCAGCCCTGCTCCTGGGTGACACCAGCCGCATGCATCACCGCCGCTGGGAGCAATTCACCACCAACTCGCGACTTATTGGATGAAAAAATCATAATTTCATTTAAATTTCAATGAAATACTTCTTTATTTGGCTTAAATTGCAATAAAATGTTCCATTACTTGATTGAAATTGCAGTGAAATGCCCCATTATTCAACTCCGAAGTGCTCACTGTAGCAGCTCAGCTTCTTGTAGGGCGGCGCGTGTATAACAGAAAAAGACTTGATTTGGGGCGAAGGCTCCGCGTCGCTGATGAGGCCTTTAAAACGAGGGTTTGCATAAAACAAAGTTGTCAAACCAGGGTTTAGGGTTTAGGGTTTAGGGTTTAGCGTTTAGGGTTCAGGGTCTCGGGTTGAGTGTTTAGGCTCTTTTAGCGTCCAGAGTTTAGCCTTCAAGGCTTAGCAATCAGGGCTCCGCCTCCAGCGTCAAGGGTTTAGGAAGCTCCGGGGCTCAGGGCTTAGGGTTTAGGGTTTAGGGTTTAGGGTTTGCGGCTCACCGTGGTGTCCTGGAGCTGCTGCGTAGCTGCTGCCCCCGCTCAGCAGCACGAGAAGGGCCTCGCCCCCGTGGGGCCCCAGGGCCCCCGCGTGGAGGCCGGCTTTGCAGACAGCAGAGTCTGGGGAGTAAACTTTGCTGCCCCGGAGGGCCCCGGGGGCCCCCCCGCAGTTGGGGGGGCAGCTGATCAAAAAGCGAGACCCCACAAACCCGTTGAACGCCTCCAGCCACGCGTTGTCGCTGCATGCAAGCTCCACTGCGCCCTGCAGCGGGGCCCGCCTGGGGGCCCCCTCCGGGGCCCCCTCGGGGGCCCCCGCGGGGGCCCCGAAGAACTCCAGGGGCTCTTCGGGGGAACAGGGGGAGAGGCAGACTCGGCCGTCCTCCGTGCGTCTCTCGCCCCCCACGGTCAAGTCCCAGGCCGCTCCTGCTGCTCCTGCTGCTGCTGCTGCTGCTGCTGCATTTTGAGTGGATAAGTAAATGATTTGGTCCGCCGATAAGACGTAGTTGAAAATCGAAAGGCCTGAGATCGACCCCACGAAGTAGTCGGAGTCCGCGGCCGCGGCGCGGCCAATAATAACGGAATTCTGCGTCGATTTGAAGTTAAAATTTGAAAGTAAACTTCGAAATTAAAAGGACCAATAGTCCACTTCGCAGCTGCAGCAGCAGTTGCAGCAGCAGCAGCAGCCAGCCGGGCTGCTGCTGCTGCTGCTGCTGCTGCTGCTGCTGCTGCTGCTGCTGCTGCCGCTGCACTTGCCTTCATGTTGAAATCGAAATCTGTCATCTCCGAAACAATTTGTTCTCCGTTGTAGTAAATGGCGACGCGCTTTTCGGGGGAAAAGAAAGAAACCGCCAAGTGGAACTTTTCTGCGAAGTTCAAATTCAACTTTTGCAAATTCAACTTTTGCAAATTCAACCTTTGCAAAAGTGGAATACGAGAAAACCCGAAGATGACATGAAATAAAAACTTTTGATTCCACTCACCATCCATTTCAGGAATTATTCCAGTGCTGATCACTCGAGGATCGCAGTTGTTTTCCAACAAGATCTCCCCTTCTTTGTTTATTGCAAGCAGCAATCCACCGCAGCCGCTGTGCGAAACGAGAGTCCTCCATTTGCCCTTCCCGCCTAACAAAAAGCAGCAAAAGGCATTTATTTATTTTTTAAAAATAGTTTTAAACTCAATTTCTGAAATCCACTCGCCCTTGACGCTCGCGGTGAGGGCTATCGTGAAATCTGCAAAGCCGTTCAGACCCTCCGAGCCCGGCAGCTCTCTCAAATCCACGAAGTCGCCGCCCTTGCCGCGAAAACCTTAAAATAAAATTCAATTAAATGCAAAAGAACAAAAAGAACAAAAAGAATGAAGAAAGAGAAAAGACTTGCCGGCAAAGTCCGGGGGAGGCGTCCACTGAAACTTGGGGGGAACTTGAATTGGGTTTTGCTCTAGGCTCAGCTGCTGAAGTCTCAGCGACGTTCCTGAGGAGAACAATTAGATTTCATGAAAATGGAAACAAAATAATTAAATTAAATTAAATTAAATTACCTCTCAAAGATGAATCCCCTGCGTATTTCACCGCAGCTTTCGGTTTCGGCTCTTTGTCCGATCTGGCCTGCACGTCGGTGACGAGATGCGTCACGAGAACTGACCAGGCGAAGCGTCAGAAGTTTAGAAAAGAAATTGCAAATTAAAAATCGCAAATTGCAGCATTTATAAACTGGAATATTATTATTAATTGCTGGCTCACAAGACCTGGCGTGGGCGTCAGCAGCGGCGCTGCTGATGCTGTTTCGCGCAGAGCCGAAGTACGAGTTCTGGCCGTGAGCCAGAACTATGGCGATCTTTCCGCCATTCCTGCCAATGACTCCAGCATGAATGGCAGCTTTGCAAATCTGAAGAGAAAAAAAGAAGAAGAGGCGAATTTGAGGAGAAGAGTTCAAGTTTCGTGGCTTCCCGTACAGGGGAGTCGTCGGTGTAGATGAAGGTGCCCCGTATCTCCGTCTGTTCTTCGCTGTTTCGAACCGAATTTTCAAAATTTTCAAATTGCAAAATAAGTTCGAGTTCCCACTTGCAGCCGCTCGGGCAAGACCCCAGGAAGAGCGCGCCTGGCTGGCCCCCCAGGCCCTTCTTCGATGCAGCTTTGTCTGAACACGAAAGCTGCAGAAGAGGCCGAAACTTTCTCTTTGAAATTTCCGGAAGATCTTCCTTTTTGAAAGCCCCGACTCCCGTGGGGTCTCCGTCTCCGCGGCAGGCCACTACGATGTCTTCGCTGTGGGCGCAGTAGATGTCGGACTTGGTCTCGTGGGGGCAGTTTCGGAGGGCTTTTTCATCTCCTGAGGCATCCAACGGCGTTAAATTACAATTTAATTCAAAATAATCCAACATTAAATCGAAAAAGCTCCTTTAAATGCACTCAATCGACAAAAATACTTCTTCTCTCACCTTCGCATGCAACATTCACCATGTGAATCGGCTCCTCGTGAGGGCCGCACATGTTCAGGCCGTTCACGTCTTCGCAGCTCTTCCCAGAAATGCCTCCGTTCTGCACTCACTCCCTCAAAGCCCGCAGCAGCTGCAGCAGCAGCAGCAGCAAAAGCAGCAGAAGCAGCAACAGCAGCAGCAGCAGCAGCAGCAGCAAAAGCTTGCCTTCATGCCGGTGTATCCCATTTGCATGCAGGAGACGCGCTCGGACTCCTTGGTCCAGCCGTCGTCGCAGACGCTGCCCCAGCCTGTTGCAGCAGGAAATTCAGCAGCAAGAATACAAAGCCGCAACTAGCTGCTGCTGCTGCAGCAAAATGGCCGCAGCTGCTGCTGCTCAGCAGCAACAACGCCGCGCCGCAGCCAGCTGCTGCCGCTGCTGCTGCTGCTGCTGCTGCTGCTGCTGCTGCTCACCGTCCTTGTACACCTGCAGCCGCCCAGTGCCCCCCAAAGAAGGAGATCCGTCTTCATCCACAATTCGCAAAGTCCCAAACAAAGGCTCCCCCGGGGGGTTGTTTGAACACTTCACTGCCACGTCCAGTTTGTGGCTGCTGCACTCAGCAGCAGCAGGTTCCTCGAAAGTGCACTCCTGGAAGCTCTTCTCCGGGCCTAGGCACTGCACGCCGAGCCATTCACTTAAAGCAGCAGCAGCAGCAGCAGCAGCAGTTTTAGTAGGAGCCGCAGCAGCACGAGGCAGGAGCAACAGCAACAGCAGCAGCACAATGAAGCAGCAGCAGCAGCCACAGCAGCAGCAGCAGCAGCAGCGCTGACCATGACTCCTGAAGGCGTCGAGGGAGAGGCAGCGGGGAAGAGAAGCAGGCGAAGTTGAAGAAGCGAAGGAATTGCTGCTGCAGCTTCTGCTGCACTAACCTGCTGCAGCAACGGGGTAGCCAGGCCCCGCGCAGACGTTGTGGCCGTCGAGGCTGAGGCAGCCGTCTTCGTGGTACATTCCGTGCAAATAGCCTTTGGCGAATTTATTTTTAAATTTAAATTTGAAATAAATCCAAAATTAATCTGAACTTCCTTTTCACCTATTTGCTGACACGCCTTTCGCGCCGAGTCTTCAGTGAACACCGCGAAGTCGCCTTGTTTGCTGCAGGCCGTTTCCATTTACTGCTGCTCTCGAAACCACAGCAGCAGCACAGAGCAGCAGCCGCAGCAGCAACAGCAGCAGCACAAGGCAGCAGCAGCAGCAGCAGCAGCAGCTCACCACACAGTGCCCCAGACTCCGTTTCGGCGGAGCTCGAGGCGGCCGCTCGCGGCGAGCTTTCCGTGGGCTGCGGGAGTTGTTCAGATTTGTCGATTGTGAACTTCAGATTTGCACTGAGTCCGAGAGTTTCTTACCATCTACTACGCGAATATCGCTGGAAATATCATCAATTGAATCTATTTCAAAAATATAAATGATAATAAATAATAAATAATAAATAATAAATAACAAATAACAAATAATAATAAATAAAATCCGAGAAATAAGCAGCAGCAAGAAGACGCCCACCGCTTCGATACAGAAAGAAGCTGAACGAGGCGGCCCGCGGCGACGGCCAAACTTCAAAGGATCGCGGCTCTGAAAAGAAGGAAAAATAATTTAATTTGATTTAATTTAATTTAATTTCAATTTGTAAAATAAATATATTTATTTCTTTTACTTTCTCCCGGCTTCGGCGGCGGCAGCCCAGAGTACTCAGGCAGCGGCCCGACCACTGACACCACCAGCACCCCCCCTGGAAAGAAGAATCAAGAGAAGTGAGAAGGCACCATATCTGCTGCTGCTGCTGCAGCAGCCGCTGCTGCTGCTACGCTGCTGCTGCTGCCGCTGCTACGCTGCTGCTGCTGCTGCTGCTGCTGCTGCAGCGCGTACCTGAAGGCGAGGCGACGCCGTCGGCCTCTGCAGCGGAGCAGACGGAGGAGGCGGCGGGGTGTATGGACGCCCCCTCGGTGAGGGCGAACTCGGCGAAGGTGCAGTTCATGGGGCACCTCACTTTAAAAGTTTGCAGGTGTTCTGGGGCGCTGCTAGCAGCAGCAGCAGCAGCAGCAGCAGCAGTGGGCCCCGGAGCTCGCAGAAAGCCAAACTTTCGCAGCAACCTACAGGCTCACTAAGTCGCTGCCCCGCGTGTGGCACTCCACGTCTTGAGGCGCTGAGTCCGAATCTTCGGAAGGCCGCAGACTCACTTTCACAGAATCTGCAAAAGGACTTCCGATCCACCTCTTCACCGCAAACGCAGCAACGCTGCCCCCCTCTGCTGCTATCCGCAGGCTTTCGCAGAACCACGGGTCTTCTTCCGCGCCGTTGTGCAGCAGCACCGACTCCAGCTCGCCCACTGCAGCAGCAGCAGCAGCAGCAGCAGCGGCGGCGGCGGCAGCGGGAGGAACTGTTTGCCGGTTGGGGGTTGTGAGGCAAAAGCCCTCACCGTCTGCAGCGCGGAAAGCCACTCTTTCCTCCGCCCCGGGCTTGACCCCCAGCAGCAGCAACTTGGGGCTGGCTTGGCGGTAGCTGCCGCTCATAGTGAGTTCAATTGGGCCAACAGTTCCTGCTGCAGCAGCAGTTAAGGAAGTCCCCAGAAGCAGCGCAGCAGCAACTGACCGTGCTCGTCGTTGCCCGTCTGCACGGTGGCCTCGTACATCTTGTTCCCCGACATGGTGAACGTCTGCAGCAGCAGCAGCAGCAGCAGCAGCTCCAGCGCAGCAAAGAAGAAATGCTAGGTCTCTCCTCACCGCCTCCCGGCGCTTGCTCGTCAAAGTCTGCATGCAGTCGAACAGCCAGTAGCGAAAGTCCTTCCAGACCACCAGGCGTTGGCAGCGCCACGGCTGGCTGCCCGCCAGGACTGCCTGGACTTCTTCGGGATCCCCCACATCGACGGACTCCACGGTGATTCTGCGTCATTAAAAAGGTAAAATTGAATAAATAAAGTCCAACTGAACTTCAAAATCGCCAGAGTCCCACCGCTTGTGCGTTCCAGACCGCGCAGACGCAATGGAAATCGGCGGAGTCGCGCGGCCCGAGCTTCCCACGAGGCGAATGCTCACGTCGTTGCTGAAACGCGTCAAAGACTGCAGCTTTCTTTTTCAATTTGAATTAAACTTACGCTAACTCCACTCCTGGGCCAAAGGCAGGCACAATTTCCAGAGTGTAGCTCGCAGTTCCTGCGCCGTGGCGCGCACAAATTGCAAATTCAGGTTTTCCATGTTCCGGCGCCGCGCGGCACCACTCCGTGTACTCGGAAGCGGCGCTCTGCGGAGAAAGCCACCACAAAAAAAAGCATAAAGTCGTTGTTGCATGCATTTTTGCATGCATTGTTGCTGCTGATTTCCGCGCTTTCCACACAGATCGCCGCAGAGCCGCCGCCGCCAACAGTGACTTGAACAGCCGCCAAACCTGTATAGACACCAGCGCCTCCCTTCTGAAATGCACCACAAGCTCCCCAACTGAACACTAAACTGGCTAAAACTTCTGCTGCTTCGCAGTACTAACCGCAGCACTGCGGCAGCTAGCTGCTTTCACTCATTTCGTAACTGTGCAGCCGCAGCTTCCACGACGCTGCTGCTTCCCCGGACTTCGCCAACTCCCTGAAACTCAGGCTACTGCTGCTGCGCCAACTACTGGAAAGTGTTAAAGAAAAAGTTTCAAAAAATCAAATAAGAATTCAGCTTTATCTGCAGTCCTCTGGGGGCGTCCCCGCTGCTGCTAAGACCTGTGGGGCCCCCCGCTGCTTCAAGTGGACCCCTAGACACGCTGCAGCAGACTGCAGCTGCTGCAGCACAGCAGCAGGAGGGTCTGGCAGCAGCCGATTCCGCACAAGAGCCAGCAGCTCGTGGACAATTTCAGCAGCAACGGCCTTCGCGTTTGGTGCTGCTGGATTGGCAGCAGCAACTAACTGCGCAATGCGCTCGAAGTGCATCTGCGGCTCTGCTGCTGCTGCTGCAGTTTGCTGCAGATCCGGCGCAGCAGAAGCTTCAGCAGCAGCTGGAGAGGCTGGGGCCTCAAAGTCCTCCCTTTCAGCCCCAGTCGCCTTTGCCGCAGCTGCCTCTGCTGCTCCTGCTGCTTCCTCTGCTGCTTCCTCTGCTGCTGCTGCTGCTGCTGCTGCGCTGCAGCGGCTTCCGCGGTCTGTCTGGCAGGAAGAAGACGAGGGCGAGCGGACACAAAGAGATTCAGTTTCAACTCCTGTGTCAGAGACACGCCGTGGGGCTGGGGGGCCCCCTTGCTGCAGGGGCCCCCCTCCACAGCTGGGGGCCCCCGCCGCGTCTGTTGGCCCCTGAGCGCGTCGTTTCCTGGGGCGCCCGGCCTCGTCCTCCTGCTGCTGCTGCTGCAGCTGCTGCTGCTGCTGCTGCGGCTGCTCGGCGCGCTCCCCC